CTTCCCCTGCTAAAGCTGCTGGCGATGGCCCCGGGGAAGGGCCCAGAGACGCAGAAGACGGCACCGTGCTGGGGTGTTGGGTTGTTCCTTCCAGAGCAGCTGAGCAACCCCAGTACCGCTTGCATGGCTCATGCTGTTTTTCCCCTCTGCCACTGTCTCCTTTCCCTCCCATGTCCTTGTTCTGTTGTGCTCCCCTGGGCTGGGAGCCCCACAAAGCCAGCCTCGGGAGGACCTGCCAGCCCTGCTCCCTCTGTGGGGAGCAGATGGACACCTGGTGGGATCCACTACAGCCATGGGGCACAGACTCCTTTCTGCCCCTGGTGCTCCCTGCACTGGGGCTTCCGTTGAGACTGTCCTGTTTTCCTCATTTGACTCATTAAAACTCTATTACATCCCAGCCCATAACTGTGTCATCCTTTCAGCCCAGATGCTCTGTCAAGATGCCAAGGGACAGGAAAGTGCACAGAGACCACAACTGTGTTTCTTTAATGCACCAGGATGACTTGGTCTCTGCACCTTGCAGTCCTTCCCATGACATGAAATAGTCTGTCTTGTGGGTTGGGTGGCCACTTCCCATGGAGGCTGCATGCCAGGATCCCTTTTGTTCTGCATAAATGCTCTACCTGGGAAGAAATCCTCCTTTACGTGCTGTAGGAAAAAGTCCTCTGCAGAGATCAAAAAGTTTTTGACCCAGGGGCCCCCAGGAGGGGCCTTTACCAGTTTCTTTCAGCCCTTTGAACCCTGCAGTGAGACCAAGTTAAAATAGCCCTGTTTAGCCTACCGTAAGTGTGGCCCTGTCCTGGAAAGAGAAAAATCTCCATTAGTGGATAGCTCAATCTAGTAAAACACTACCAGGCAGATGTGGGATGTGGTCCATGAGGAGATTCCTACCACAAGAAGATGCATCACTGCAGACTACCTTTCTAGTGTGGGTGCTCAGGATGGGCTCAGCCTCCAAGCAGGACTTAGTAACCAGCTAATTGCCCACTGGGGGAATCTTCCACACCTGCAGATATGGTCAAATGAATCCTCCAGCTGTTTTTTTTCCTGAGGAAGGACCCTGAAATACTGGGGCATGTAAGCCTCAGCCATAGGGAGAGGACCCCTCTGGAAGCAAGAGCCACAGGCCAGGAATGGCTTATAGGCACTGCTCAGAGAAGAAGCAGCTCCCAGTGCAACTGCCATCTACCTCTGGGACCTCTTGGTGAGCAATGTCTTGTGGGCAGAGAGCCATGGGAAGAAGGAAGTAGACCTGAATATCCCAAGAACTGCTGGATGGAGAGCACAAGATGAGGACTCACACCAGGGTCATCACACCAGAGAAAAGCACCACTGGGGAGCACGAGGGTGTGCTCTGCAGAGATGCTGTGCGGTCTCTGGCTGTGGCTGGGTGGCCACAGCAGTTCACCAGGGAGCCTTTTGCCCTGCTGGGGATGGCTTGTGAGGGCTCTGTCCTGACCACCTCCCCTGTCTCCTCCTGCCTGAGCACTGCTCTTCCAGCTCTGGGATGCCTGTAGGTTCCTACTTGCCTGTGTAGGTGCATGGCTCCCCTTGGGCAGCCTGGCCTGGAGTTTTACAGGAGGCAGCAGTTCACAAGCTGCGAGTGCCTGTGAGGACCCTTGGGACCAAGAGGGACCCTTTGAAGGGTCGAGCTGTGTCCTCGCTGCACCAGCGGGAGGCTCCCAGCATGGGAAGACCTGGCTCTGGCACTGGGGAGCAGCAGCCTGAAAAGGGGTGATCCTGGAGATCCCCAGGGTTCATTGTCTCTGCTGCTCACCAGGAAGAAGGGGGAAGTGGAGACAGATGCAATTTGGGTGCTGGAAGCTGTCCCCTGCCTCTGCCATTTCCCCAATCTGACTTAGGGGTAACAGGAGCTCTGACCCCCGTAGGATTATAGGCCAGTTGCCAGCAGGCTTTGTCTTAACAGGAGAGCTCCTAGGAGAAGAGTTCAGGGCTGGTTGTCAGCTGGAGCTCCAAGCATGCAGAAAGCTGGTGCCTAAGCTTAAATCCCCTTCTTCTGCCCCCATCCTCTGTCAGGACTGTCCTGTCTCTCTCCTGGTGTCCCAATAGAAAGGAGGGTTCATCCTCCCTGAGCCCAGGACTAAGCTGTGCTCTGGCACAGGCAGATCTTCCCCCTGCAGCAAAACTCATTGCTGAAGCTGGAGGAGAAGCTCCCAAACATGGAGCAAACAAGTCATGTTGGGCTGCAGCATGAAGGCACATCTCCTGCAGGCTGTAAGGCTGCCAGGGCAGAGCAGCAAGAGCAGAAGGGAAGGAGACCATCGGAAAGCAAAGCTGAGTTTGATGGGGAAGGAGGGGCACAGAGGTTTCCACATCCGTACGGACAGAAAGGTAAGGAGGAGGAGAGGAGTCACCTGGGAATGGGGTGGACAGGAAGGGTAGGCTGAAGATATGGCCCAATCTTCGCTTGAATATGAAAATAATGAGAGGAATGGGAGGATGAAGCAATAGGGATTGCAACACCCACGGTGGAAGTAACCCCTGGAACCTTCTCTGGGTCATACTGGATCAGCCGGGGCACTCCTCAGCTGGCAGCAGGGGAACCATCACACAGCCAGGAGCAAAAAGGTGCCTTCTTGTACCCTCATCAGCAGGGACAGGTAGAGGGTGAGGGTGGAAAGAGAAGCCACAAGCATGGAGTGGGATGGAGCAGGAGTGATGCAGAGTGGTTTTGCTGAAGGTAGGTTGTGTCAGATGAGGGCAGGGCTGCTGGGTTTGACCCAGGGGATCATAGAATCGTAGAATAGTTAGGGTTGGAAAGGACCTTAAGATCATCTAGTTCCAACCCCCCTGCCATGAGCAGGGACACCACACACTAAACTGTGTCGCCGAAGGCTCTGTCCAGCCTGGCCTTGAACACCTTCAGGGTTGGAGCATTCACAGCTTCCTGGACGTGATGCTTTTCTCCAGTGAAGTATAATAGGACTGTTTGCATCAGGGCCATGGTGGGGTTGTGATGGAAAGGCATGAACAGAGGCACTCTGCTCACAGGTTCCTGCTCAGAGGTGAACTGATGGCTTGGGGCAGCAGCATGAGCACATCCTGGCAGGGCTGGGACATGGAAGAGCTGGGCTGGGAGATGCTGCTGGTGGCTGAGAGCAGGCCAGAGTTAGCTCTGCAATTACAAAAGCAAGACCAGAGCTTCTGCAGCACAACCCAGCATTGGCCTGGATCCTGCGTGCCCAGCGCGAGAGCAGCAGAGCAGAGGAGAGGCTAATTACAGCCTGCGCAGGCTAACTGCATCTCTGTAAACACCTAACGCAATGCAGCCCCTGGCTGCCAAATGGGGCAGCCTCTGGCATCTCCTTCAGCCCAGGTTACGAGCAGGGGGTGACAGGGCTTAGACCCCTGTGGCATTGCTTAGACCTTGGTGACACACGCTGGGCCTTGGGAGGGGAACAGCAGAGGGGCTCCTGCAGCCCAGCTTGGGGGGAGCAGAGAGATGGCGAATGCCAACACCATGTGCCTGCTGCAGACCCAGGCAGGGAGCAGCAGGGGGATGTCTTCCAATAATCCAATGTTTGGGGATTAGCCATGATGCCAACAGGGATCTGTGACAAGCCTTGGGGTGATGGGCATGGACCAGAACCAACTCCTGCTGTCCCTATGAGCTGAGATCCTCCTTTCCCAGGGTTGGCGTCCCTGTGGCCAGGAGAGGTGCCCAAAGCATGGACACGTTAGTGGGCAACAGATCTGATTGCATCAAGTCATAGAATCATAGAATCAACCAGGTTGGAAAAGACCTTTAAGATCAAGTCCAACCCTTCCCCAGCACCGCCAAGGCCACCACTAACCCCTGACACTGAGGCA